GTTTGAGTAAAGCTACATTGTTGCCTTTACTCAAGCGACGAGTAAACTGTTTTATTTTACTCAAGTTTGTGCAAAGCTATATAATTACAGTAACTTTACTCAAATCATGAGTAAAATTATTACGCTTTTACTCGGGCTCGAGTAAAGCTAATTCACTTTGTGTATAAACGACGAGTCAATGTTATAATTTACTCAAGTTTGTGTAAAGTTAGTCTACAGTATATATACTCTGCTAAATGATGAGTAAATTCTTACCTCTTTACTCAGACTTGAGTAAAGCTAACTGACTCTACTCAATCCAATGAGTATTTACTATATTTTTACTCAAGCTTGAGTAAGGCTAATTTACTTCACTCAAACGATGAGTAAATTGGTATATTCTTACTCATTCCATGAGTAATGTTAGTTTACGTCACTCGACATCTGAGTAATGATAATTTGGTTTACTCAGTCTTTGAGTAAAGACGATGTTTTACTCAAACTTTTGAGTAGGTTTACTGAAGAAGCGTCCAGAGTAAAATGAATTTACAATTTTACTCAATGGATGAGCAATTTTACTCACAAATGGTGTACATTTACTCCTTCCGGTCGAGTCAAATGACTCGCCTATTGCCCATCAAGACAATTTTACTCACGTTTCTGAGTAGAATTACTAACAACGAATATTTACTATGTTTTTACTCAAGCTTGAGTAAAGCTAATTCACTTTACTCAAACGATGAGTAAATTGGTATATTCTTACTCAATCCATGAGTAATGTTGCTCGATATCTGAGTGCTGATAATTTGGTTTACTCAGTCTTTGAGTAAAGACGATGTTTTACTCAAAATTTTGAGTACGTTTACTCAGGAAGCGTCAGAGTAAAATGAATTTGCAATTTTACTCGCTGTATGAGTAATTTTACTCACAAATTCAGTAAATTTACTTATTCCGGCCGAGTCAAATGACTCACCTACTGCCGATAAAGACAATTTTACTCACGTTTCAAAGTAGAGTTACTCAACCGCTGAGTAAAACATGCCAATTACTCAAATTGTGAGTGACTTTGCTCGCAAAATGAGTAATTTGACTCAAATTGAAAAGTGGATTTTTTGCAGTGTATATATATATATATATATATATATATATATATATATATATATATATATATATATATATATATATATATATATATATATATATATATTTATTTATGTACTATTTAAAGCACGAGTAGGAGTGTTTTGTCACATATAAAACACGACGCGTAGCGGAGTGTTTTATATGTGTTAAAACACGACTACGTGTGCAAGGCCTCCGAGAGGATGCCCAAGCCGCGCAGCAAAACTTTCGATATAGGCGACGCTGTGACTTCGTAAAGGAGTGAAGCGGTGATTTACAATATATTACAATATATTACTAACTTACTGACCGAGAGTGAGGGCAGTACGGGAAAATATCCAACCGATGTCTTGCTGTAGGCTATTGGCCGAGCGATAGCGAGGTCAATACAGCAAGACCGAGGTTGGATATTTTCCCGTACTGCCCTAACGGTTGAGGTCAGGTAGTGTTTTATTATATGGCATTGTACGTTTGTAAAAAAATGGGGGGAAAAGGTCACGCGAGGGCAAAGTACAAAGTCCGAAACATTTGCAAAAAAGAACAATTGTAAAAAATGTTCTAAAGCTTGGTTAGTAAAACTACTCTACAGCACTTTTTGTATAGAATACTAACACAGTTGGATAGTATTTCAAGAAAAATACGAGGTATTTTGTCATTTAATCAAAGACAAAGACAACAAATATGAAAACAATAAAATTAATAAACAGTATATATATGGACAAGTACGTTTTTAGTTCGCTTCATCTCATAAATATATATCTTTTTATCGAAAACCCCCAGAAATTTTCAGGAAAAAAATATAAATCTGTGGCAGCTTTAATTGTATTTTTATTTAGGGTGGTGTCAAATTCCTCGGGTATCTGCAAATAAGATTTGCAGCTCTTCACAAAGTCAAAACACAGCTATTCCTGACTTCTTTAATAGTTATAAACATTGTAAAATTTACCTTGTAATTTCGACTTTCGCTAACAAAAAGGCATATTGAGAAAGTTCTTTAACGGCCAAAGAAGGTGCTTCTTTCCTTTAGTTTAGGTTTAGTTTTGAAAGACATTTTTGCAGTTTGAAACTCGGCTCTTGTCGCGGGGCAAAGAAATTGCGCATTGCCCGTGGGCAATACGGGAAAATCCTGCCTCGTCAGCAGCCAATCAAATTGCGCGATTCATCAAAACAAATGCTTGCCATATAATAATACGCTTTATTACACATTATATACACGCAGCTATAGGATTTACGTTCTCGGTTAAGTAATCCTATATCAAGACATATAAGGGCCTTCGTTGCTATGGAGTCAACGTTTGAGCCGCATCCCCGGGCAAAATGCGCTACCGCGTTTCTACCACCATGCTTGTTGGGCTTCGCAATAAGGCAATAATTCGACATGACATGTAAATTGGAGGGAAATAAAATATTGATACAATATTCGTGATTTCCTCTCACAAAGGATTGGTAAAATGTTGCCGTAATTGCTGCCGTAATGGCTAATTTTAGTCAGCTGAGCTAGCTGATCTTTATTATCTATGATTAAAAGTTATTAACTTGATTATAGATAATAGATCTTTTTGCGCTAATCGATGTGACCAATTTAGAATGCTTCATGGGCAAAGGCCTTGCTGTAAATAAATACTTGTTTCAAATGCTTATTTTTGAAGGGCCGGTTGTATAAAACTTCTACTCTAATTAGCGTTAACTGCATTTGAAAAGTCGTTAAAAAGTAATCAAAGTTATAACTATGCCCTTATTAAGGTATCGCCGCAGTAAGAAGTTGACAATATTTCCAGTAACACAGTAATGCAAAGCAACACTAGATGGAATTTTCTGTCGCCATCTTTCCTAAGAATGTTAGGCTTATATGACAGTTCCAAATTGTAAAAACGCTAATTCTTGGCTTTTTCGAGAACATAATCCCCGAACCAACGGCGCGTACCACCGTTCCGGGCGTTAGCCCGGTCGAGGGTACTAATTCCGTCCGGCTATTTACACCTGGGGATAGGAACGCACTAGTGAAGTCTAAAGTTCATCAAATACCGTGCGCGCATGGCTTTAATCTTTAATCTTTAATCTTTAATAAAATTATTTAAACACGGTAGCCTGTTCAGCAGATAATATTTACAGCGCTGGTTTTCAAATGGCCGTGTGTTTACAACAATAATATAAAAAGGACAAAAAGAATATAACTATTTACAATGAATTGATACGGATGAATTAAGTAATTGCCGTTTAAACGACAAAATTGAAAGATTGTTATAATTTTCAATAGTTTCACTTGGAAGTTCGTTCCAGGACTTAGCAGCTCTATACGAGAAACTTCGTTTGAGAAAATTTGTCTTAGGTTTGGGTAGGTTCAATTTAATTTGATTGCTTCTTAGATTGTAATTGTCATTTTGACTTACTGAAAACAATTTTCCAAGGTATCGAGGTAATCGACCAGTTAGTACTTTAAATGTCATTATTAACTGTCGTTGTTTTAGAAGTTCTTCTATTGGAAGCCAATTAAGACTATCTAGCGTTTGCATGGAACGAACCTCGTATGTGTCCCCTGTTATCACACGCGCTGCTCTCTTCTGCAGTATAAACAATTTATCAATTATCGAACAACATCCATCATTCCAGATTGTTGAACAATAATTGAAATGAGGCCACACTAAGGCATTGTAGATTTTTATCAGACTATCTCTATTGACAAACAATTTTGCTCTTTTCAGCAGGGCGATATTATTTGAAATTGTTTTACATTGCATTTCATTATGTTTATTCCATTTTAACTGGTCGTCAAGGATCATGCCTAGTGACTTTTTTTGGTAAACTCGCTTAATGTTGTTTCCCCATGATGTTAGTACTGGGCTATTTTCAATTGAAGCTAAGCGACGTCTTGATCCTATTATCATAAATTCAATCTTTTTCATATTTAATGAGAGCTTGTTAGCTGTCAACCACCTATGAACATTTTCAATGTCTTTATTAAGTTTGATCTCAATTACATATGGACTAAACCCTTCACAGGAAAGGCTTGTGTCGTCAGCAAAAAGATTTGCTTTAGTTGTCTCTAAACAGTTAGGAAGATCATTTATGTACAATAAGAATAAAATAGGCCCAAGGTTAGAACCCTGAGGTATCCCGCATTTTATTTGTCTAACAGCCGACATCTTGCTATTCACAGAGCATATTTGGCTTCGACCAGAAACGTATGATTCGAACCATTTCAGGCTAGTTCCTTTAATATCATATAATTCAAGCTTTGATAAAAGAATATGATAGTCGACAGTATCAAAAGCTTTTTTAAGGTCTAGAAATAAAACTCCGCTAAGTAAACCTCTGTCCATATTGAACAACCATTCATTTGTAGAACTAAGCAGTGCAGTTTCAGTAGAATGTTGATGACGGAAGCCAGACTGCTGTTCCACAAGAATGCCATTCAACCTCAAGAATGAACTTAGCTGCAGGTATACCAGTTTTTCGAAAAGTTTAGCTACAGCTGAAATAACAGATATTGGCCTATAATTTTCACAGTCTGCCTTATTTCCTTCTTTAAATATGGGGGTCACCTTTGCTAATTTCCAATCATTAGGGAAAATTGCTCTTTGAAGGGATACATTGAATATGTTCACTAGTGGTCCTGCCACAATGTTAGATGCGTCTTTTAGTAACCTTATACTAATACCATCAAGCCCTGGAGATTTCTTAGTTTTAATTTCATTGAGTGCATCTATTGTTTCTTGGAGTGTAATGCTTGTAAAGTTGAATATACTACCATCAAGAGGAGTCACAAAGTTCATTGGATCAGTGCAGTTACCTGTGATCTTGTCAGACAACGTACTGCCAATTGTGGAAAAATATTGATTGAAAGCATCTGCAATTTTATCATCGTCAGTAATAAGTTGGCCATTTATATCTAGTTCTTTAACCTCTGAAGTTTTAGGCTTTTTGTTTAATAATTCGTTAATAGTTCGCCAACTTTCTTTGCTATTTTTAGCATTGCTTAGTTTATCTCTAAAGTATTCTTGTTTGTTTCTTTTATGAGATTATTTAACTTGTTTTTACATCTCTTTTTTTTTGTATAAACATATATTTTTCAAAACGACGTTTACCCAAGAGCTATAAAGCTCATCGAGGGGCTTACGTCACTATTTACATAATATTTAAAATAAAAAAGAAAATAGAGTAAATAAGACAAGGACAAACAAATTACTGGATCGTTTGGAGGATTCCCTCATAGAGCTTAACGAAAACGTTCAGATTCTTTAATGAATTGTTGGACAAAATTGAAAATTTTTTTGTTATCATCTATATTTAGATTAACATCGCCAAACAAAAACATCTTTAATTTTTGAGAATCCGACAAAAGATTCCAGCTATCACCACAAACTTGTGCAGCAGCCGAGAGTAAGGAAATCCTCAGAGCAGAATATCGGGGACACCTTAGCAAATAATGCATAATTGATTCATTATTTGCACCACACACACATGCTGGAGTTTCAATACAGTCTATTTTAAACAAATAATAATTTAGAGTACAACAATTGAGACGAAGCCGAGAATGTAAAATGGAGAAATATCTATCAATTGAATAATCAAGATACTTATTATAACATGAAATATCAAAAAAACGATTAAGATTTTGTTTAAAAACGCTAATTGATAAAGTACTACGTTCATTATAGTCCATACTGTTCCATAACATAGTTGTTGAAGGAAAGAAAGAAGCTTTGAATCTTTCAGTTCTAACAGGAAATAAAGTAAAATTTGATGCATGCCGTAGAACTAAACCCGACCTTTGCTGAACTGTTTGAGGAATTACGATTTACTTGTACCCTTCATAGCTCCTGTGACCACCTTAGCTGATTGATATTGTAGATGTTCCAAAAGATCACTCTCACTAACAGAGCAGCCATCCCAAAGGACGTCGGCGTACTCCATTTGAGATCTTATGAGACATTTATATAATTGAATTAACGTCTCCCTACCTAATTTAAACTTTAAGCCTTTCAAGAGATTTAATTTTTTTGAAGCTTTCTCATAAACATTAAAAATATGAATTCTCCAAGAAAGATCAGAACAAATGGTGACACCCAAGTGCTTATGATTACTAACATTATCGATAATTTCATTATTGAAATATAAGTCTGGATAACTGGGCTTTACACGCTTTACAGAAAAAATAATGGATTTGGTTTTGCTTGGATTGATAGTGACAAGCCAATCACGTGTCCATGCATTAATACGCTCAAGATCATTATTAATACTAACAGCAGAAAACGTTGGATCATCAACCACTTCAAGCAGAGAAGTGTCATCAGCATAAAGAAAACTATCGCTCTGAAGGTCACAAGTGATATCATTTATGTAAATTAAAAAAAGCAGAGGGCCCAGAACAGAGCCCTGGGGAACACCAGCTTCAACTCGGTCCCAATCAGATGACTGACCCTCTATTAATACACGCTGCATCCTATCAGATAAGTAACTCCTTATCCATTTGAGTGAGGGATCTCTTACTCCCAGAGAATCGAGCTTACGGAGCAAACCTTTATGC